AAGTGTCACTATATGTCAAATATATATAATAATTCTTAGTTCAAATGTGACTAAGTTTGTTTTTACCATATGCGATTTTTAAAACAAGAATATATCTTAATTTATTATTAAGGCAAATGAAAATTTGTAATTACAAAGAGCATTCTATGCTTAAATCAATCAAATAGCGTTCGAGAATAAAAATATACTTGAATCAAGGATTCTTTTTTTCTGTGCAGGACTACGGTATAGCAGAAGCAAATGGAAAGACATAGCATTTCATCCGTATATAAAACGTATCATTTGATTTTTCTGATATGTAATTGTAATATTGTTTTTGCAAGCACGCAAATAATAGGTGTAATTATAATATTTCTTATGCGAGGCCACATATTCTGAATTCTTATTTTGTATCTTTTGCTCAAGTTAAGTATGTCAGCAGTTGTGCTAATTATGACATTTATTTTTTTCACAGATAATTCTTGTAAAATGTTAACATAATTGACCACAAAATATGTATTTCTCTTGACTAATTTGATTCTTTATACGCTTGAAATTACCAATGAAACGTAATTATTATGACCATGTAATGAGTCTCGCTTCGCAAGTATGCAAGTTGTCAAACGCGAAATGAAAATAAGTGGGTTGTCAACCGAAAATATACCTTAAATGAGAAGAGGATCGAATGATATTCTGGCTAATTTGTATTTGAAAGCTTGTTTATCCGGCAAATTTTATACATTTATTTTACTGACGAAACAAAACAAGCAAATATCAATATGACTTATTGTTAATAAAAAGTTGCGGTATAATTAAGTATATTCTTGAAAAATTAGATCTACAAGATGCAAAGTCTGTTACTACACGAGCTGTCTATATAAAATCACAATCATGATAATATCTATTATTAATATCTTGTAATATTAAAATATTTGGCAAAATTATAATAAACGAAATGTATATAGACTTGAATCAAGTAAACTGTATAATAAAATATCTTCTTTAGAAATCAATCCTTTTAAATTGCAATCTCCTTTATGAGAACATTATTGTAAACTTTATAAATTAATTATTATAACACACATAGTATATCTCGTATGTCTCGCGTTTGTGTAGCGAATAAAATCATTTTTATAACCCGTATCACATCTGTCTGGTGTGTAAAACCTGCGTGATTCTCTTTAAATTTTGCGGTCGATTATGCTGAATAAATTCATCGCGTCGCAATATCTATCAATATAATTTTTTCTTTATAATTCTTTATCTTCTCCCTTTACTATTCAGCACTTTTAAGATAGTAATGCACAAAGAGAATTATCTCTTACAATTTATCCTGAAAATCATGGTAATCATAGAACAATATGGTTCTGGAAGAATTTGATTAAAGTATCTCTGATTAATATTTACACCACAATAAAAGATATTAATATCCACAATAAGATATAAAATATGTTCGATTAATTTTACTATGTACGTATTAATATTTTTTATTGCGGTAAGTATTAATTAATCAAAGAAACTCATAAAACTCTTTCAATATTATATCGTTCCACGATTACCATGATTTTCAGGATAAACTCTAAAAGAAAATTCTCTCCGTGTAGCATTTTTACATGTGTCTATATTTATTCTTTTCCTCAGGATTAATTCAATTTTCTATTAATTAAATAATATGATAAAATTCTCCCTGATACGAAGGAATTCGAGCTAAGAAAACGAAAACAGTAGCAAGAACGATGACGAGAAAAGGAGAAGGACGACGATGCCGAGAATCAGTTTACATATGTACGAGAGCCTCTGCGTACGGGACATCCTCTCGGAGGCTATAGGACTTACAAATATTTCTCCTTTTATTTCTTCAATATGAATATCTACCTCTGCTCTCTCTTCACGGCATCTAACTTCGAATCGAGAGCGAAGCGCAGAGAAAGAGGGAAGAGCAAAGCGAGCTAAGAAAGACGAGAGTCGAAGGCATTGTTCGCTCCTTTGGTCCGCACTCTGGGGAGATATCCCGCTGCGCAAGTTATTTGCCACGATCCTGCTTCATGATTTTTACTCTAATTTGTACCGACAGGGATGGAGCACGCGAGCTGCATTCCTACCGTCTTCAGGTCCACCACTGATAGCCGTCGCGTCGCGATCTCGTCTCATCCCGATCGCGGTGCCCGTCGTCATCGTTCCGAGAGCCGGACCCTCTCCGGGAGCTTGGCCACAATGGGGGCTCCCTATGATTTCGGTAGCGGTGTTTTTTGTCAGCGTCAAACAAGAGCCCGCCGTGGTTAGCCTTGATCGATGGCTGAACTTAGCTGAGTAAGCCTCCATTTAATTAATTCTTTAATTACTTCTCCCTCCCGGGATAAGACTCCCTTTTGATTCTATTCCGAAGTCTTTCTCTCTCGCTCTCTCTCTGTCTCTCTTTCGCTTTTGATTCTAGATCTCTCTGATATGAATACGAGATATGTATATACCGTCGTATACGGTAGCCGGCGTTTACGAGACGACGATACCATTGTGTGGTGAATATAGATTATTTTTCAAAATGTTTGATGATAGAATTATTATTTTTGTTCCCATTTTTATTAATAAAATTGCATCGTGCCTATTTGGTTAATTCGCGAGAAATAGTATAGGGTTTAAGATCAGTAAATGAGAACATGTCTCAAAGTATGGTTCGTTTCACAATCTCAGATAAGATAAAGATTATTTAATAATTACATTTTTGTTAGACTTATTTGTGTACTTCATAGTATAAAAAAAATAAAACATATACTTTGAAATAAAAACAAGCCATGTGCGCTGAAAAAAAAATTTGTTAACTTGACTAAATCTTTCAACTAAATTAGCATTTTGTTATTATTGAACATACTTTAGTTGAAGGATTTAGTTAAGTTAATAAACTTTTTCGGTGTATTATTTATCAAAAATTACACCAATGTTATTTATTAAAAAATTGTTACCGACGTAACAAATTTTTATGATATCGTTAAAAAAATCATTTCAATTTGGATCAACCGTAATTAAATATCTTTATTCTTACCTCTTCTTTACTCACATATTTCATATGGAATAGGAATAAATTTACGTATAGAATTGCGTATGATTTGAAGGCGCATTTTGCTCTTAAATTATTGATCAGAAACTAAAAATTTTAACTCGTTCTATAACGCGGAAGCGACGCGGTTGTAATGACGTTTCGATTAATCGATACATCCATTATATCCATTTCTAACCAGAGGGAGATTCTTAAGTAGGAAAAAAGTTGTATATACTTTATAGCTGCTTATATTCTAATGTATTCAAACATCAATTGCGAGCGAATTAACTATCGCGATAAATTCAAAAGTAATCTATATTATTACGCTAATCTGTCGCGTTTATCAATCAAGTTTTTATCGCCTGCGATTTTTCTGTTGCACGCAAAAACTTTGTGCAATCTAATATCATTCTTATTATCATGGTACAGTTTTTTTACAGCGTCCTTCGCGTTGTTTGCTGTAATAACGACTTTGTCGAAAGACACACATGCGTGTCTTTTCAGCATAGCACACGCATACGAATAGAGTATCTCCCGCGTGTGCAAAACGTATGTAAAACGACGGGGCCGTGCGCTGGCGATGTTTGGAGTTAAGGAGGCGTTAAAAGAGCGGCAGCATCGTAAAATAAGACGGTGACGTGTTAGATAGCGAGCACAACGGCGGGTCGTAAAATCAGTCGGTGCAACGGCATAATTCTTCGAGGATACTCTTCGGGGCTGTGAACTTCGCGACTGGTTTTAAGCCGCGGATAGGTGTATAACCGGCCGTGTGTGTTATGTGAATGTAATTGTTACGAGCAGCAGCTGGTTCCTCTCTCTCTCTCTTTTTCTCTAGCCCCCTCTGTTTCTACCCGCGGTGAATCAATTCTTAAGATCGTTCGGAGGCGCTCACGTTTTACATTGTATACGACGAACGGTTCGCTCATTTACGGCCCATCGGAATCCGGGACAAATCGGAGCGATCCGTTCTTGCTTCATTAATAATCGACCGGTTTCTTTGAATATCGCGACGTAATCAATCACGCAGAATCGATTTTAACACTCGGATAAAGTTCGGGAAAAAATATCTAGCGCTTAATGCGTATATGTATAAACTTGCTTTTCCTTCAAATTTCTTTTTTCTTCACTGAGATTAATTAATAAACCGTTTGAAGGAAACGAAAGACGTTCCGTTTCCGAAAGTATATTCTTTCACTTTCCTTTTCATTTACACTAAATCTCCTAAATCATTCGTATATCTTCGCGAAACCACGCCTGAAAATACGAGCACGAAACTTGTGATAAGAACTGTTATTAAACTTTTCTTTTCGATTCGAAGATCTCTTCAACCACCTTGTTTCCCAAGGCGCGGTTTTATAACGCGAAACTACCCGCGGTTGCTTATTGCCTGGCATAAAATTTGTCGTAACCGAGAAATTATCTGTCGACCGATACTGAATTAATTTTATGGGGCTGCGTATAATATGTTGTGCCTCGCGCGTCTGTCACCTAATTTTACGATGCCGCTCTTTTTCTTCGTCGTGCGAGATTAGATAATCTCGTCCAGCAAGATCATGCAATACACATATATATATATATATATATATATATATATATATTTAATCGAATTTGTACGAAAGTGTTAAAAAGTAAAGTCTAAACTTATAATTATTCATTGTACGATAATATATAAATACACAATATGATTCGTTCATTATATTTGCGACTTTTATTATTCATTTATTAAAATCCATTGCCTCCGAATACACGTTCGAATTCCAAAGCGGACCGAGAAATTTCTAACATTTTAATATATATGAAGGACGGCAACTGATACTTTAAAGTTCCGAGAAGAGTAAAGAGATTCATTGAAGCGTAAAGGAACGTACTCGGAGGCAAGTCTTGTGAAACGGTAGCGAGAAAAGTGTTAGATTTATTACCTCGAAATATATCGAGCATTTTTCAAGCATTTTTCAAGCGACAATTTGAAAAATTAATTAAAACTCACCGGCACACGATGCGTAGCAGTGAAGTATACAGCATCGTGACCACCTGTAAAAAAATAGAAATATATTAAAATAAAATTGAAATTTTTTATGCATATATGTAAGATATAGGTATTAATTTTTTAAATTTATTTTTTTAATAGATAATTTATTTAAAAATTCCATAATTTTCGAAATATATTTATTTTTTTTAAGATATAAAAAATTTTATCAATAAATATAAAAGTCTAATGTTTTATATAAATAATCTCAATAGCAAATAAAATAAATTAAATAGTTATAAGTTGCTTACCTTACGCTGCCTTCACCGTTGCCTGATGCTCTCCCGAGCCTCCTCCTCCTCTCCTTCATCCTTTATATTTCTTGACATAGCACTCGCGAAAATACTTTACTAATTATGATCGCACGCGTAATTAACAAAATGCCATTGCGCGACATTTTAAACGGCACTCCCGACATCGATTAGATGTAACGGCACTTTCAATGTTAATTAGACGTGACACTTTGAACTCGCGATATCGACTAAACGCAATAGTTTACATGGCATCTCGATCTTAATTACGCGCGATACTTTGTACGGCACTCCCGATATTAATTATTCGCGGTACTTTGTACGATACTCCTGATATTAATTACTCGCAACACTTTGCACGGTACTTTCGATTTTAATCATGTCGAGAATCATTTTTGGAGCGAAGACTTAAAACTTGCTGTACCAGGACTTCAAAAAGAATTGTAAAACTGCTATGTGTAAAACAATAACATCACGAAAAAACAAACCTAAGTTAAATACAGTTTAGACTCGGGAAATATTCACGTTTCGTTTAAATGTGCCTGTAAAAATTTGTCCTTGCGTTTCGGGTCAAAAATATTTATTAAAAATTTTGCATTTGTTAAAAAGACACAAAAATTTAATTAATAGATTTATCCTATGTTTCCCTTTCTTACTTTTTATTTCGTACAAATTCGAGATGATAAAAAAATTGTGACTCACCGGCACACGATGCGCAGCATTGTGACATCTGTAAAAAAATAGAAATATATTTCAATTATGTATAAATTTAATATAAATAAGATATATGTTTTTTTTTTTTTTTTAATAGATATTTAATTTAAAAATTACACAATTTTTGAAACATATCTATATTCTTTTAAGATATAAAGTTTGACAAATTTTGATAAATAAGAGAGTCTAATTTTTTTATAAAAATAATTTTAAAAACAGATAAAATAAATCAGATAGATTATAAGTTAGTTACCTAACGTTAACACCATCGTTGCCTGATGCTCCCCGAGCCTCCTCCTCCTCTCTCGTTCATCTTTTGTATTTCTTGGCACTCGCGAAAGTACTTTGCTAATTATGATCGGTATCTGCAACAAATATTAAAATACATAATTATATAGATACAATTGTATATGTATACGCAATACTGATTAAACTTATTTTTTTTTAATTTGATTTTTCTGTAAATCGATTAGCAAAGGAAATAAATTTTTATATGCGGATCCGTAAAAAAAATAATGTATCTTATACATCAATACGAATCGTCGATTAATTAATAATAAATTCTTCTTTGTAATTTTTTTTCTTATTTGATTAACAATAACGATGATTAAAAGTATATTCGCAAAGTCTCCCTTTAGGCACCATCGTGCGCCTGGATGATTACATCAACAAGCTTCGAAAAAAATCCTGAAAAGAAGCGTAGAAAGCTAGACGTCGATCTTTCGAAGATTCGAGCGGTGTCTAACATAAGAGGCGAGCACGAATTCGAGAAGAGTCGCATTGGCTCGTTCGTGGTCGACAGGTTCGCATGCACGGTGACGAGATCGTCGGAAAAGGTTCGAGGGAAGACGAAGACGAAGAAGAAGAGAAGAGGGCCGCCACGTTGCCTCTCTCCGCCATGCCATCCTTCAGCGTTTCGCGTTCGCTCCGAGCTTTGCGTGCCACTCAACATTGGCAAGTAATTTCTTGCACGCAATTGCCCGCGCTACTGGAATTGCCTGGTAGGCGACCTCAGTCCCGTCAGTCATTTACTTTTTAAATCGATCCTACCTGTGCCCGCCTCGCCTGCCCGTTCGTCCGTAACTTCGTATACGAGCGACCCTCGTGTGTGCACGCGTGTGCGAGCACACGCGACTCCGCGGCACGCGGAATTTCCCAATGCTAAACTTCGATTCACGACTCGCGTTCTTTCTATCTTAACATTTCCATATTATTTGCCCCGGCAGACGAGAACCTTGCGAATTTTTACTTTATGTCAAAAAAGTGATTAGATACGCGATATATCAGACGCGCGCATGATAAGCTGCGGCAATTCTTCAACGTCTTTCCGATTTTGAGTCTCGATATCAATACGATGTGTGTTTTATTATCTTGTTGTGACTGCTGTTTATAAATCTGATGATAAGAAAAATGAAAAATAATAAACGTATATTAATTAATTATACGGTGTCTCTAATTATGCTTGAAGATAAGTTGAGAAAGATGTATATATTGTTATTGACTTGCTACGGACTATAAAAAAAAGTCTCGAATAACGCGAAAACGGTTTAGATACATCATTTCACACACTGCGGTGTTATAGCTGGATTAATTTTCTTGTCGAGTCAGTCGAGCATATCAGGATGTTCTAAAATGTCGCTCCCTGTATCATTAAAGTCGCAAATAAATTGCTCGTCGGAATACGCGTGAAGGATTATCGAGTATCGCCGAGCACCGTTTTTCAACCCTTTAAATTCGTGATAATAGCTTAAGGTCTGATATTAACCGAGTTTTACGATCAGAATAGCTTCTATATTCGATGCATCACGTGGCTTAAAGGCAAACTTAGAATGAAATGGATCGATAAACACACCGTTATCTTTACTATGCGCGAAGGTTTTAAGCTCTAACTAGAGTTTCCGTAATAATACCTTTCCTCGTCATATTTATGATTAATTTAGAAAAAAACTAATTATAAAATATTTGAAAAGATGTGACATTATTGTTTTTTGGGAAATTTCTATAAATCATTACGTTGTGATGATCGTAACACAATATATGTTTACACAAATAGAATAAAGAGAAAAAAATAGAATATTATCGGACATCGTTTATCAATTTGAAAATTTCACAGAAATATACTTTATAAAATGTTTAGTAGTCAAGTTATTTCCCAACATTTCTTCTTCTCGAGGAAAATAATCGCGTATAAAGGTACAGTGTGTAATCCTTTCACCGATTTCGGGGCAGTTGGGTCAGCTCGTGACTCTAATGTGAAAAAGGAGGAAAAATTATCCTCTTCGAATCAAGGCTAACAACGAGTAAGAAAAAAAATAATTGATAAAATGAGATTTTCTTCCCCCACAGAATGCGCTTTCTTTTTTCCTCCCGATTTTCAAAAATATAATTTAAATAAGTATTTATAGGTCCTATAAAAGTAGTATGAATAAATATATTTATGCTCTTTGATTTTGTGGTTTATTTTCTAAAAAAAATTTCTAGCGTCTGCTTAAAGAAATTTCGATATGTGTGCCGTTAATCGCGTGTGTGCGCGACTGCGATATGAGAAAATTATGTGAAAAACATGAACATGTTAAATTGTACGTTTAGTGACTGCGCGTTTGCATTCGTGCGGGAACAACAAGCCGGACCGCCGGGAAGAACAGAGAAGCGAAGAACAAAATGACTATATCTTAATCATCTTTAGTTATTGCCTTTCTGGACCGTGTGTTCGACTTCGCTCGTGGGAACCTATCTCGCGAATATGGAAAGGAAGACGATGAAATCCTCTCTCCTCACAGAATGCACTCGCGACACGCATACGCGCTTATCGTTCGATATAATTAAAATATAAGATATCTCTTTTTTTTCTTTCCTTTGATTTCAAAATATGAAATAGAATTAATAATTTACAGGCCCTACAATAATGGTGACTGGTTTATTTATGCTCTTTCATTCTCTCTGCGGATAAAGTTTTCTCTAAATTCCAAAAGTTTACAAAAATATTTTGACATGTGCGCCTTTAATCACGTGCGCGCGACAGAGATATGAGAAAATTATGCGAAAAACATGAACATGTTAAATTTCATGCGCGAGACATTAGGGGACCAAATCATGTCGAGAAGTGATGCATACGTATGAAAAAGTGTATCTACATGATCCGCACGTAAAGCATTATCGACGTTTCCTGTACCCGCAGGGAGAAACTGTCATTGATTAAGTACGGAGATCAACGCTAAAAGACGTTCAAAGATGCTTGTCAACGATAAGCTAAGCCTGAATCGAAATTTTATTCCTATTTTCAACCTCTATTTTTCACATTTATGGAGATTCTGGAAGATTTTGATAAGTTTTATTTATATAAAAATTGTGTATTGCATTGAGTTTCTACTAATTCAAAGAATAATAAAGGCAGTAAACGAACAATTTATTATTTAAAGATTTAAAAGCGAAGAACTTTCGAAACAAGTATAGATTAAATATGATTTCAAAATAAGATGCCTAGACTTAAAATATCAAAGTAAATATTAAATTAAATAGAGATGAAAAATAGAAAAAATATCGATTCACAAAACTATATTAATTCATCAGTTTATCGCGTGCTTAATTATAATGTTAATTTGACAATCCTTTTTTTAACAATTGAAAAGATAATTACCTAAAGTTTGATTTTTTAAACTTTAATAAGAACTATGTTAAAGAGTAAAACTTTTATATATACATAATAATTTTTTCTCAAAAAGGCAATAAATTTTATATAAAATATCGGAGAGACAAAAAAGAGTTATCACACAGCATTGAGCTGGATCTATTTTAATCTTTCGGTCTGTAGCAATGGATGGCGCCACCAACTTTATTGAGAAGTTTTATAAAGTTTTATATAATAGCTTTAATAAAAAATATACATATACGTATATAATGTATATATATTTTAATATACATAAAATTGATGGAAATGAAACCTGAGCATTCCTCTTGCAGATTAGCATAATAATGTCACATATGATATATATTTTATTAAACAAATAGCACAATTAAAAGTTTTCCACGAGAAAAAGTTTAAGATTTATAATATAATCTTTAGTTGCAATAAAAATTTTTAAACAGTTTTAACTGTATGAGAAAGCAAATAGAATAATTGATATATAGTTATATCATATTATTGTATAAAAAAACACTGAAATATAAAAATATAAAAATTTTTACTGCAACAATTATATGATTAATTTAAAAGAAGAAATAAAAAAATTATACGTGAGATTTATATGAAAAATGTAATCCCGAATAAACGAGAATCAATATTATAATATTGCGAACTATTACATTAAATATTAATGTATTCTTACTCTTAAATTTTAAATGGATGATTTGTACAGGGAAGCGTGATCAAAATTCCAACGACTACAAAATGTGAATGTACTCTTATTTGTTCTGATAAAGTAATTTATATAATATCGGCAAGGAATGTCGGTCAATCGGTTTATATTTTACGCAATAAATTTTAATAAAAAACTCTAATAAATACCTTTTTTAATGAATAATTTTTTAGAATAATTATCAATACGTTTATATAAAGATGACATCAGAGGTTATCGATAGCATGTTTCATTGGAAAAGTTATATTTTCCGATATATATTTTGCATAATATTGAGATTTAATATATATACATATTCTGAGAAAACATAATTTGTACTTTTTTCTAAAATATTTTTACTTTTATTATCACTATTTGTGCATTGTATTATACATTATAATATATGTATATGTATGACATTATGAATAAACAAACTTTTGTTAAAACAAGCTTATAAATTTGCTATAATATTGAAAAAAAAATTGATAATAAAATTATCGCATAAGATCTATCCTGTCGAGACAATTAATTATTATCGAAAATGCCATTGAAGATTATCGAGTACGAATGAAACAGAATTATTCGCTTACACTCAGTGAGTATTATAACTTTTTACGATCAAGAAAAATATAAAGCATTAGCTCTATATTTTCTATACATTTTATCAATGCACAATATCAAATTCCACATAAGTCTAGCACGTCATACAGTATTTAAGACGTGCTAAACATTTATAGCTACTGATTGCAAGATATTTTTCTGACTGGCGAAAAAATTGCGGTAAACTCGTCAATGTCATAGGTTATCATGACTGACTGTTAAAGTTTAAACTTGACTCAAATGCGATTTAAACATCACGCGAGTTATTAGTGCCCGAGAATGCGTGCATTCTACATGATTCTTTTGCTGGCGATCTTCTTTGCGAGTTTCACCAGCAGCTGGTGCTTTTCCATCGAAAAGCAAAATAATACCACACAAATATTGAATTTTAACGGAACTACGACTACAGATGTTATGGAGGGAAGAATAATATTTGTTCCACGGAGGAATAAAGTTTTCTGTCAACCGGGTCAAGAAGCTGATCGCCGTGGCAAGTGTAGGACAATCTGGTGAACTAATAATTCGACAAATAATAAAAAGCAGATAAGTCACGTAAGTAATATCATTGTAATGCCATAATTTTTAATTTGTCTTTATATTTTATACTAAATCATTTTTTAGTTAATTATTTTTTAAATTTATATTCATTTCTTTGTTTGTTATTTATTCTTAATTTGAAATATTTAATAAGTCATAATATACAACTGACGAAAAATAATGTTGTCTAAAAAAACATCAAATAAATTTTTATTTTATTAATTATTTAGTTTTTAAGAAAAATAAGTTTAAATATGGGAATAATGTGAGTCTATATGCTAAAATCTATGTATTAGTTTTATCGAGTAATTATGCGCAGCAATAAAGATGAATCATATCGTTATCGGAAGTGTTACAAGAAGCATATGTGAAAATACCGAGAAGATTGAGATAGCAAAATTATACAAATGAAATCATTTGTTGATCTAATATTACATCACTTAACAAATTAAAATTTGTTGAGTTTTATGTATTTTATTCTTTATAAGTACACGCATCATTCCAGGTAGCAAACGTACTTTTTACTCCGAATGACGTTATTAGACGTCGAATGACGTCATTAGACATCAAAATAACATCATTCTTACGCTTATAATTAGTAACGTTAATTTGCACTTTGAGATATATATAGAAAAAAAGCAAGAGAAGAGAGAAAGAATTCTTTTTAAAATCAATTTTCTGGGAAATCCTTCGATAAAACGGGCCGTTAACCTCGTGCATATTTTTAGCAAATCAACTTTCTGCTGGTCAATCACGCGCGCGTTCCATGAAACATCTAACAAGTAAAGTTCAAGATTTCATCACGCAGTTCCCGGTATCGCAATCTCGAATCGATGAAAAATTCCGGACGCAACGCCAGCTGATAAAGTAACTGGCTTCGCGCGATACTGCGCGTCGCAGATAAAGCAACCTTTTAAGCCGGTTTGTGTACAAGGTCGATTTTAATTAGCCGCTCGTCCACTTCCGAGTAGTTTGTTTGCGTTCGATTCGAGACGGCGGTGGTGGAGTGGAGATAGCGTCAGATAAAAATCAATTGTCGCCAGTTTCTCAACGTCTCAATCGCGTCCGTAGCTCGGTGGCGGCCTTCTGATGGAAAATGCGAGACTGGAATCGAGCTGTTCAGATCGCCGGACGTGTCGAATCTAAATTTCGTATCGCTCACGCTTGGATTACGTATACGTGATCCAATTTTTTCTGATATTTTATCCAATGAAATTTAAAACGAAACGCTTTGCGCGCGTTGTGATTAACGAACTCTGTCACGAGAGGTGGAGACTGATAATGAGTCCGGGTGTTCTTAAAGCAGGAACATTAGTATGCCACGAAGTGTCGCTAATCGCGCTGCGATTGTCGTAATATTGTGTTATATTTTTAAAAAGAAGTTTCATAAAAAAACTCGTTATATTCATCATTAACTCACATCAAAATTCTATTCTGCAATTTTTCTGAAACCTCTGAAACGTACCAAGATTACGAAAAATTGTGTGTGCTTCGTACAGTGATTTTTCAAGTGATTAATTACGTTTGAATTTTCAATAAGGTGATTAATAAATTAGGAACAAAATATTCGTGGCACAACTAATCTGCAATTAATTTAAATAAATTGAAAACCTCAACCTGATTACAGAATAAGTCATAAGAGAGCGAAATCTAGACGCTTGTGATCGTTAATTGCTAGTTGTACATTGCAATCATACGCAACTATGAAGTTTTCATTGGCATTAACGTTCGCGATAGCATTATTTTTCTTCTTATCGAGCGCACGCGCGTTCAATTCGAACGAAACACAAGAAAAAAAGCATTTCGTCCCCTTCGATAAATACAGAATCGAAGCAGGATCTTTTATTAATGTCCCTATACAATGTCCACCGAACAAGGTCAGAGTTGGAAATCGTTGTAGAAGTGTTTTTTAGGTAAGAAATTTTTCACTATAAGAAAAGTATTAATATTTGTATTTTGCAACAGCATAAGAGAAATAGATGCTTATATTATTTATATTATTATAATCTTATTATATTAATTAAATCCAAAAATTATTATTACCACGTGTTATAAATAAATAATAAACAATGATATTTTTATAAATACTAATTGATAATAAATGTTGCAAATTTACATATTAAATAATATACAACACATTATCCAATCTTTCTGATCTTTCTTTTAGATTTATTTATTAATAATGCGATGTATTTATGTCAAACATACGTTTGGATTTTCTTGTAATGCAAGGTAAACTTCTGATTGCAATAAAATATAACGCTTTACAGTTTTCTTTGCTAGAAAGTCGCTAGAATCATTAAATAGTCCAATACTCGTCTGTCAGTCCACACAATTATCATCACATAACGAGATTCTTTCGTATCCATCAAACTCAAATATGCAATAAATTTTTCAAATCTTTATTTATAGCGACCATGTTATTTTTACAGATGTATAATTCTTGTTTATGATATTAATCGTACGATAATAAAATCTTTAATTGTACTTTAAATTTAAAGTAAATTTAAATCTTGATTTTTGTTACAGATCTTCATTAAGGAATTAAACACTAATATTATTCATAAGAAGATTCCCGAAAAAAACAGAGAGGAGGATCATATGTACTTTGAAGAACAATTAATGGAAAGATGAATAGATCTACATTAGAAATGTCTAACTAATTATATAATGATGCGAAAAGTATCACAAATTAAATTATCAATCATGAATTTACCACGAAATAAAATCAAGATGTAGAGAAATCAGCGAAAGTATTTTTTCGCGCATATGCGCGCGTATACTTATTGCCAAATAGTAGGAATAAACTTTTTATATAAAATGTGCAGAATCGATGTAAAAATTATAAAGTGTTAAAAAATTATATTTATGTAATATTAGACAATAAATAATCAATACTTCATTGTCTGTAAAAATAAATTGAATTCATTCTTTTTCCTCTCAAAAAGAAATAATTAAAGTTATTAATTAAATATATATAAGGCATCACTAAAATGTTTGTATAATTTAGATATTTAGAAAGACAACATTTGAATTATATAAAAATGCATAATTTATATCGATGTGTCTGTGTATATTACATAGTGAAATGACTATAAGTTAATGACACAAAACGGCTATAAATTAATAACAATGCATGCGAATTACAACACAAAAGTCTAAGCTTTGCACTGTTCACGCTTCGATATGGTCGTTCGATAAAACTTAGAATACTTAATATCACGGCTAACAACATTTTCAACGAACTGGATATTGATAATTTTGGAACACATAGTTCAAGCATGAATATTATTAATATGACCTCCATGTAATATTGCTAACTATCTCGCCAGTGCGAAGCTGTTGATGTCATATTTTATTAAAAGCTCTCTAACATATCAAAATTCTTCTATGATTATTCTGAAACTTCTGAAACGTGTGGAAATTATGTTTAACGATATGCATTCTGCGTGCTTCTCATGAAGTGATTCGTTATGTTTATGAATTTTTTTAAAAAGCGATTAATAAATCAGGAAAGAGATATTCGTGACAATTGCAATTAATTTACACGCATTGAAAATGCAACGTGATTGCAGAGAATAAATTACCAAGAAATGAAATCTAGACAGCTTCAATCATTGATCACACGCGATATATACATCGGAGTCATAAGCAACCATGAGACTTCTACTGCCCGTAACATATGCAATAGCGTTATTTCTTCCTGTCATTTGTGAGCACAAGCGCGACCAATTCAAGCACATCGCAGGTAAATGTGCATCTCACAGACTTTGATTATAATAGAATAACACGAACAATGATTAATACTTCTATACAATAGCTATAAGGCAAAATCAGAGTTGAAAATCGCACATCTGCAATTAATTTATAGTCGAACCGTCTAATTGTAAATAAGAGAAAAATAAAAAATCTGCTAAAAATGTATCAATCTTCGTATGATACATGTTTCGCAATAACATAAAAGATATGTCATTTCTATTATTAGAACAGAAATTAATTAGATACAAAATTTAATATTGCCACATGTTACAAATAAATAAAAATAATAATATTATACATTTTAGTAAATAAAATAATAAACGCTGCCAAAATTTGTATATATTATATTTATCTTTCTAATTTCTCTCTTTACTTTGTAAATCAATCTTTATAATTTAGCAATATTGAGTTCTTACTATGCATTGACGTCAAACATTCTCATTGCTCATATCTAATTGCTTGCGGTATGACGTAAATTTATAATTCCGATGATGTATAATGCTTTTAAATTGATTTTACTTGTCGGAAGCTGTTATCATCAAATATTCTTGCACTCACCCATTGATGCGCACACAATCATCACCTTCTATCGACCCCTTTAATGCGTCAAACTTAAATATGCAACAAATTGCTCAAGCGTTTATTTATAGTGACATTCTATTTCCACGGAATACTGTATAGTTCTTACTTCCGATAGTTTTGATATTATCGCGTGTGTATAAAACTCATGTGTATTTACATATAAAACTGTTAACAATTATATCTAAATCCTATATATATATATATAAAATAATATTTAAAACTGGTTTTATCATACAACTTTTGATAATTATTTTATCATTACTAATCGAGAAATTATTTCTTAAATTAAGAAACAAAAAATTATTTATTATATATAAGATAAAGAATAGTTATTAAAAACCAAACACTTACATATATTTTAAAGATATTAGTTAATTATATAATAATGTATAAACATATAAGATTTATAATGTGACCATCAAGAGTTTATTAATTGTAATAATCAAAATATGGAAATATTTTAAACATATTTTATAGCGTATATTTATTTTCACTAATAATAATAATTTTTAGAATATATATATATATATAATATATATATTTCATTTTTTAATAATAAATTTTGGTTTTATATCAAAAGTTCATAATTAAAACCAATGAATATTATCAAGTATTAAAAATGATATTTAACATTTAAAAAATAATCGTAGTTAATATTTAATTGTGCATCCAACAATTTGAAAATTAAATCTCTCGTTTCTATATAAGTTTTGAAATGAATAAAACATTTCAACCACATTTATATGTTATTCCTATCACCCATGCTGACTCATGAAACAAGCTCTTTATCTGTATAAACCTCGAATATATAGCGCACAATCATGCTCAATACTTTATCACGTTGCGGAAGTTTCGAATAAAAGCTCGTGCGTAACCAATCAGGATATGATTTCAACCGCAAATTAACAGTGACAAAACGGAAAGGAGAACGGGAAACCACACCGATGGGACCTAAGTTGTACATATATACATAAATGCTGCTATACTTAATTATAGAAACCAGTCGTTATTTGTACTTTGCATTTTGATATTGTAAGCGTATATTAAAGAAGAAAAAAACAATCTAACGCCAGTTTATTTAATCTTGTTCAACGTCTATTTAATTTGGAATTTGAAAGAGTTTGAAAGATTGGATAGAGTGCTTGTAATAATGGCACCAGCACGTTTATTGCTATTGATTCTCGTGTCGATAATGTTAATATTCGCATGTGAAGGACGGCCGTTAACTTTTCCTAATAGAAACCGAGTACAGACGAAATGTCCACCAGGCTACAGGCCCGTTCGTAATGGATGCAGAAAAATTTGGACATTTGACATTTATTAAAATTTATAATTTACGTGTCATATCGCTTCTTGCATGAGGTAAGAGTATATTCAATAATATTTTTTTAAAATTAGAACATTTTTGTTTTTATTTTATTGTGCATTTTCTTATGCTGTAAAATTTATAGTTCTATTTTTAAAATAAAAATACTTAAAAGAAAAAATGATAAATATTTTTATATTTAGATTATAATTATATCTTAAAATAAATCAATTAACAAATTAATAAAATAAACCGATAATTAATTATTTTCGTTTTATTTAATTATAGAATAATACTACCAGCAACATCGCGGGATAAACATTTGCCATGCACAGATGTCATGTGCATAATAATTAATAATTACATCAAATTAAATTTTTTATTATAATTTACATTTTATTGCTTTGAATGACGATTTAAAATGCGTATATATATATTCTCTGTATATATTAATAGTACCACGCATTGGAAATAATTACTTTAAGGAAAATTAAACACTTACCGTCTGTTATAAGTCCACATTATATACATTTCTAATTTGTATATACCATGTAAATGGTATATGGAGTATTATTTTAATAAACAAAATAATATTAAAGAAATAATTTGTTTTAATTAATCTCTACATATATAAATAAATATTTATTATTATTGATTGTTAAAGTAATATATTTATTGATAAAAAAATATAAACTTAATACTTTAACAAAAATCTAAACAGATTAAAAAGATATAGGAAAAAGTATAATGTTAATAATTGCTACATATTTATTAATGCATTGAATTAAATAAAATCATTAAATGAACATAATCAAAGTTTATTATCATATGTATGTATTTATTAATTTTCTTTCTAATATTAATGTTTCTAAAAAATATTTGACTATTTGTTGAATTTTACCATAACAAATTAATTAAAACATTTATGCAATTTTTAAAACATTATATACTTTTACATTTTGAAATATCAAATATTAAATTTTATTAGAACTTTCAATATTTTCGACTAGTTTATTGCAAATATCAATATATTATATTTTCAATTTTATTAAAATATCTTGCTCTTTTATCTTTCGTAGTATATTCTGTGATAAAATAATTAGAATACGGAATATTGCAGAATATTACCCATGGATAATTTTAAATAAACTCAACTGTCGGTAATATCGTAACAATAAACATGCAATGGTAATTTATCGGTCTAGTAAGTTCGACTGTCGGTAATATCATTGTCGTATGCATACAGGCGGGAAACCGCGCCAAACACACATACACGGCAGCCATATTGGTCAAAACCCGGCACACACACATGCACCTGCTTTCCACCTTTTTTCAATATTAAAAAAAGAAAAATTGATATAGAAATTGTACGTACATCATCTGATGATGATGATGATAATGTGTCAACCGCATTTCCGCTGCACCTCGAAGATGGACTGCAAGGATGATGAAGACGGAAGATTCCCAAGACGTCCTTGAAGCACTCGGTCACGTACGCGATTCTGAAATCACGATATTGAACGCACACGATTATGTTACGATGTCGACTTTACGAAAAACACTCGCGATGCTCTATCGCGCGCGAGATTGGCCGTAAAAAATATAACATTCGCGAGAAAACACGGAGCAAGCGAAAAGCGATCCGTTCGTCGCGACGCCAAGGTCGAATATGGCCGGGCCGATGCCTCGAAATCACGAAAACGCGCCCGGTCGAGTTGTTTTGTTTATTTCGCATACAATAGCGATCGTACACGTGATCTCTGATATTTCAATGAACACGCGACACTCGCGGAAGACACTCACGATAAACTATTCACGCGAGATTGACTGTAAAATAACAAAACTCGCGAAAAAATACGGAGCGATCCAAGAACGGTCCGGACGTCGCGACGCGAAGTGTTAGAGTGAGAAGGTCAATATGGCTGCTCTCGAAACATTCAACGCAAAAATGCGCGCGCGGCACTTGCTTCGTTTATTTCACGTATAATAGCGATCGCGAGTGACAGCTGATATCATCACGACGGACGCACGATCTTATTTAATTCTGTAGAATTTTAGATAATTAATATTAATGTATATATTAAATTGTGTGGTAGAAATAAAGTTTACAGCGAACACTTTTGATGTTGATACGCAGGTATTTCGCGCGTGAAATATTTTGACGACTACTAGCGCCATCTGTAGGGAAACTAGGTGAACTATTTTGTCAAAACATCAGTAGGTAAATAATATGGCGCTGATTTGTGTACATACATGTACATATAACCTGACGCTATATATTAGGTTAATTTGATATTAATTGCTGAATCTGTGATTTTATTCATTAAGTGATATTAATAAATTGTATAAATTTATCTGCAACTTCTTATTTTACGTAAGTATATGTTTGCATCATTGGACACCTGAGGATTTTCCGCAGATTATTATTACCTTGAAGTGTAATGTTATGAAAACTAATTCTCAGGTTAAGTTGATTTTATATGCAAATTTAAACGCCTACTTCATCCACATATACCCACATACACATAAATTGTTCTTTCCGTATTAAAAAAATTGTAATAATAAATTATGACTATTTCTATGAGGATACTTTGAAATGTTTCGTAATATCTAATAATATTAATCTGATAAATATAAGGCATTTTTCCAAGCACGAAAAACTTTCATGTATATTACTTTAATTAATAAGAATATTGACACAAACGTTCTGTGATAAATAAACAAAACAGAGTGCCCAAAAGAATGTTCACTTTTTCTTCAACTTTCAATTAAAATTTCAAAAATTTATATTTTTTTATTCAAGACTATATATATGTATACATGCATGTATACTCTATACATGGTCAAAAATATGAATATGTATATATATATATATAATATGTGTGTGATTGAAAAATAGTGATAAAACACAGAATAATTTTTTTATTATTTTTAGATTGCACCCGTTTTTTATTCGGACTTCTGGACGAATTCGCAGAATGCGATTTCCTGGATCATGCAAGAGAGAAAGACACACAGTACGTTATCTCCACATCGCATTTTTTCATGCAGTTTCATAGCGATAAACATTTCGATCGAGGAACGAACGCCGATCAGGAACGTTGGGAAAAAGTCACGCCGCTTATCTCCGCAGCGATTCGTGCGAGCGTGCTCGATGCGGTGCGCACGCGTGTGCGTGTGAGTCAAGAAATACGCGCGAGACGTGTTCATCTCATCAGTTGTGGCGCGGGCACTTGCAACGCACAGGTGTACCGCTCGGAATAAGTGCTTGTCACGCAAGAAAACTCGGAAGCTCCATACGAAGAGGCAACAAGAAAGAGAAAACAAATCAATAGATCAGTCGCGAAAAGAATCGGATAATCGCGGATAATAATCGAATAATAATAATAGTAATCGTTGACGTAACATCCCCGTATCGTTATCGTCGACATCGACGCGAATCCTTGTGTATTTTGTATAATAGAAACTGTGTAGAAACGTATTGCAAACGAAAATGCAATTTGACGTATCGTTTGACAATCAGCTGTTTCACTTTGGAGTAAGAACGTTCGTTTTTGCGATTGTCTGCAGCGGATTCGTCGTGGGACAGGTCAGCACTCAGTATCATGGCAATCCCGATCACATAGTCTTTCCTGGACCAATCGGCTCCACATCAAGAGCCCTTGATAATGAACATGAACCCGCGAAGAGGTCCACGGCTAACAGCGATACGTTGGTAAATTTTGGTGCACATTGATGATTCTTGTTATATCACATTAAGTTAATTTGAGTCATTCGAAAGATAAGTTATTATAAGATTAAATTTATCAGATTATGGATTAAATTTATAGATATTTATCTCTGGTTTGCAATCGATTACGATGTAAGGAAAAGGCCAAATTTATTAGTCACAGACAATAATCTATTTAATGTAAAACAATATTTGATATTTTAAAAAAATGGACAATTTGATTGAAAAAAATGGAAAATCTTCAATTGTCCGCGCTTTATTTTACAGGTAGTTAAAGACGTAAAAAATTAAAAATTAAAACATAAGGCAACTGAAATGATGTACTGTGCACGTTGCAACACCTTCGTTTCCAAGAATTACTTTCTGCAAAGGTCGAAATGACGTCGAAGGCCGAGTTTGCCAATGTCGAGGATATTTTCCAATGAAATAATCGCAACACGCGTGCAATCGACAAGCTTTTATAATTCGCGGCACGATGTGAAACCGATCGTACATCGTCTCACCTTGCATGCAATTGTGTAAATACCTGATCGACTAGCTCGTGATCGATATCAATAACTCTATTTTACAATTTGCGATGCTGTTAAAGAGAAGGAACAAAAATGCAAGATAATAAATACTCCGGTTAGAAGAAAGAGGAAATGTAGACGTGTAAACGCGTAAAAGATAATGAATTCGCGTGCAACTGAAAAAATAACTGAGTAAGCGAGTCGGCTGCTTAGAAGAGAAATCTTTATGTCAACAGTATAGTTATTAGCCTGTCTAGTTATTAGGCAGATAATTATTATAATATCGTCGCGGCTGAGTCAGTAGTGAAATCGAGAATGCTCAATAAAATATAACGGCGCCTAAGCGCTGAATGTAAGACCTTGCTTCCTGGCAAGGTCGTAGCCAGTGCTATCCCAAGAGGAAAGACTATGCGTGGTCGTTATCGTAAAGTCGTTCATTTGAGGTTTCATTTCAAGGTTCTCGATACTTGCGAGTTCGATGAGAGCCGACAAACTAAGAGAACAGAGATTCAGAATTTCTCGCGATTTCTTGCGTCAAAAAAGATTATTCCTAAAAAATATTGTCTCCGACACGCAAAATATTTTTCGATTATGCTAATTATGGAACGAGCAACCTGTTTCTTTCAAATCTCATAAATTTTTGTCTTGTATCCTGAGGAAATATTTGTTTCAAAATTAAAAAGGAGCGATAGTACTTTCATTATTAGTATCGCGTGAAAATATAGATATATATATAGTTAATTAATATTTTTTATAGCTAACGTTCCATAAGATTCAGTAAACTTTGACAAATTTACAGATTTTTTCTCCAAAAATTAATTTAAATTCCTGTCAATCTACGATTACGTATTTTGTGCTTCAATTAAGCTTTGTCTTTGAAATCAGTAAAAAATAAGGCGTGAGAGATAATAATGATTAATATGCGAATATAGTTTAACTTTTGAGCCACTCGCTAGACAGCTACGTTATTATTTTCCTTTTTTTTATACATGGTATACAGCGATCCGACCTGTTTGAGAACCTGTTTCAATCATGATATCGGAGCTAATGATTTTTCGCACCCATTCAAAGCTATCAATGACTAATAACATAACTATGCAGTGTCCCAAACTTACTATATATAGTATACTTTCTACTACAGATAATTTATCAATGTAAGGAATGTTAATTTAATAGAAATGCCGAAAATCTAACAATTGTTAAGCTATTTGAAACTAAAGAACTATTCAACAGATAAGCCATAATAACAAAATTGCTTGTAGATTATGCAATACCTATTAAAAGTGCATCATTTTTATTCAAGCATTCTTGTGATTGTAATTCATTATAAAAGAATTAAAATTAATATTATTTAGATATGATATATTACTTTCAAAGTAACACAAATACAAGTTAAAACTTATTTTGTTTTAAATACAGTAAAAAAATGAAAAAAATTGATTTCTTAAAAAAATGAAATTTTCGTGTAATATATGGATCATTGACCGATATGCACTTATCCAAGATACTTTTCTCCTTAGTCATACAAGTATCCGCGATTGAATAGGATGATTCACAATTTATACGGGAATATCCCGACCGAAGGACTTAATTTCATGTTTACCTTTTAAATTAATATTTATGAGATTGCGGAAAGAAACAATCTCGATTATTTTAGTACGCATATGATCAATTACAATTTATTTGATTCTATATTTCTCTATTTCTTTGATCTTTGAACATTTTATCACGCGTGCAGAATTAAAATAAACTTGAGAAATGTTCATTTTAAATTTATCTTTTCTTACGCAATTAAATTTTCTGGAATAACTGATGCAGGAAAAACGCACAAATGCTAGTCTCAGATTAATAAAACAACTAGTCATTAATCTTTTAAATAATTTTATAAACGCATAATCTACAATTATTTAATATTAAATTTCTCAGAACATAGAATACGATAAAATCTCGCCGATTACAAATTAATAAAATAACTTCCAATCATTTTTGATCTTAAAATAAAAGCTAGGAAACCATAAGTTATCGTTAGTCATATATATCGATCAACCACGCTTATGATCGTTATCGGATTTTGATTAGATTATTACTGACTAAGACATTATATACCTATGTATAGAGAATAACTACATTTATATAATACATGTACACGTAACTTATCTTGTAAAAATATTTTTTATATTTTATTTTCAGATACCGCTCGATTTAGCCATTAGATTAAATTCCATAGAATCATCGGACGAGTTTTTGCAGCTCCTTCATGGTGTTCCACAAAAGGGATCTACCTTAAGCAGTAAGTTCAATTCACTCAAAGTCTTATCACTTATTATTATGTACCAATAATAAACAATAATCTTAAAAAATTGGTCGTATCGTAAAAGTATAGAACAAATTGTGATCTACTTATGCATATTGTATTTTATTATATAAAAGTATCGAAATTGAAATTTATTACACAATTTATTGCTACAAAAACTAGAAAATATATCACTGTGCAATCATAATATTAGAAAATATATTAATATTATTAATTACGTCTGTTTTTTTTTCAATATCGCGTAATCAATATGCGTAATAGAGTGTAAGTATCGTAGAACAAAATAATCGTTTGTCGAGATGCAAATAAAATCACTGTGTAATCGTGATAAAATCAATATTTTCCATCTAACAATTAGGAGAAACAAATTATTTGCGGCGGTATACTTTAATTACTCTACTGTTTACACAAACGTGCAGTTATCAGTATACTGAGATCATTTTGTAAATTAACGTGGATCGTATGCGTTCTGATACATTTGATGCAGTACCATAAGCCTTTAAAAAATGTATGTTACAAATTTTTACAATTGCAAATACAAAAATATTTTGTTGGAATTTTGTAATAGTTTAAATGGCTTTTCGATTAACGCAGGATATAGTTTTCTATTGAATACAAATTCGCCGAAGCGTGTCCCCGGCCAATTAATTCCCTTGTGATACTGTAATTATAGATACAAACGCCAATTTTGTGTAGATTTATTCTACATCTGCTATTTTTTACGTAAGAGATTCACACATTTTATTGAACTTCGGTATAAATGATCTTGTGAATTTTATACATGACATTCAAAAGTGGTTTTTTATTCGGATAATCGAAAATCAATTTATTTTTCACGTAACGCACGCAAGATTGTACGTTGAAATTCTTTTGCATCTCAGCTTCGAAAGTTTTCAAATAATTTTTGCGATCTTCTGAAAAATTTAAGGGTTGCAAATAACCACCGAAATTGTTCGAGTCCTTTATTGATGTATTGCTAACTTGGATTGCCTCTTCTAGACTTGGCAATTTAGTTTGTATTTTATGTGCATTTGAATGAGTGGTAGAAGGAACATTTTTCTGCATGTCAATTTTGACAATTTCCGGAGATACATTATCGATTAAAAACGAATACGCAATCTGTAATCTGCATTTTCGTTCCCAATTCTTCTTTTTCCAGCTTTTTGAGTGATGATATAAAAATAAAGAATCTGAAATTTAATATTTTCTTAATATATATAATTTACTATATTTTAATTATATAAATTTTCTTTAATTATCTGTCTAACATTTATTATCAATAAAGCATTATCTACGTAAAATAATTTTCGTGGGCCTATAATTTAATGTATAATATTTAACAAATAGAGCTCTTGTTAAAAATATGTCAATTTTTAATATGCTTTAATTAGTTTTTATATATTTAGCATTGTTTTGTATTTGATTTTTTCGACGTGATAAAATATTTATTTCGTGTGTTTTTTCTTTAAATTGATTTCTAAATGCTACTTTTCATATATTTATATTCATAATATAAGATATCTACCTTGCTTTTGTGCAAAATATATATTTACCTTCTCGTATATTTAGCCGTGAAAATTTTATTGTTCCATTTGCCTCCAGGTACTTAGTCGTACCAGCTTCAACAATAACAGGTCCATCTCCTTGACCACACTCTCTGTTGATGGCTCTGATGGTTGGTGCCATTTCCTCTTTCAATTCTGTCCTATTAATGTTCTGTATCTTCTCGACGATAGCCTCAGACGTAATCTCGGGCTCGAAAAGATTACAGAGATCGTTCTTGTTAAGATCATAAGACTTATCATCCATCTTGGCGATTGCTTTTGCACTTATTTCATTTTGATTTACGTCAGTATTGGCATTCACGTCATCCAAAACTGTCATCATTTTCAGCTTGTTCTGTACAATATTAAATGTGTCATAGCCATTCTTATGTACGGAAGTTGCACCGTTTTCCTTATCTCCCCGATTAAAATCTATTTCGTTCTCATGGTTCATTGACATTTCAGTCTCATGTGAATAGCGAGTTAGTTCTTCATTGCACGTGTGGGTTTTACACTTATTGTTAGTATTTTGATCTAAAGATTCTCTCGACCTACGCAAAAAGTCAAATCGTCTTTAATTAATAAGAAAAGCGTTACATTTTTAAATAAAATAAACGTATTAAATATAATTCTTATATAGATTGAATATCATATATAAATTAATTTTTAAAAAGAGGCGTGAAAATTTCATGAATATAAATAGAAGCTACAATGCAATGAGAAAGTGTACTTAATTTAACATTTTAATATTCTCACCCATTTAATTGTTTCTCCTCAGCGGTGATGTCCAAAATTGGCATAATGTCGTGAAACGTATGAAAGGATTCTGTTTTATGGAACGCAATAAAAGCAGCTACATTTTTCTTTCCTGTGATCTCTTTTCCAAACCATTTGAGCACCACACAATTTGCAAGATGATCCTTGAAACCGGGAATCATTCCATCAACCAACATGAAATAATGATTGGCAATTGAAATCGCTTGAGCAAGTTCGTCGGCCATCTTTACGTTTGAAAAAAAAATTAATAATGCCTACAGAAAATTTAATATCGATTTAATGTCGGCTTATTTTACTTCAAGCATTCGGCCAACTGTTTGTTCACATTACGTGTTATACTGTCGCGTCGTTTAAACCTTTAGATCACATACTGTTTTGTTGACATTACCTGATCCGAATAACGTAAACACGAAATGTTTGCACACAAGAAAAAGAAAAAATCTAACGCTTGAAAATTAATGTCCAAATTGTCAAAGCTTTCTATTTCTTACAATATCTTTTATATAATGCTGTTGTATCTATACGATTAATGTGTATTAAAATTTTTCAGCTAGATTACAGAATATAAACGAATTTCAAATTTTCAGGTAGATTCGGCGAAGGCGAGGAACGCTCAAACGCAGAGAGACCGACACCAGCTAAATGTGTGCCCGAGTTGCAACCTGTCTCTTTAAAACTGGACGACGACGATCCCTCGACGATTATCTTCCCGCCCTGCACACGGATCAAAAGATGCGGTGGATGTTGCAGTAGCTCTCTGCTCTCATGCCAGCCAACAGCCACGGAAGTTCGAAATTTTGAGGTAATCTATCGTCGTCCTGTTAAAGAATATACAAACAAGAACGCGCCTATTAATATAAAAAAAAAACAATTCGAGGAAGAGCGATAATTATTAAACATTTTCATTCGTTTGTCATCTTAAGGTGCACGTGGCTTCGTTGGAACTAAATTATGCGGGTCGACGAATCATGCCGTTGGAGGAACATACTAAGTGCAAGTGCGATTGCAAAATCAAGGAGGAGGTAATTTGACGACTGATAATTAGCGGATAATCGGCAGCTTCCTGCTTTAACGAGGCCGCACGTTTCGCACGAGTTTCGCACCTCACATGTCATATATATATCTCATTATATTGTTTCTCACATGTCATACGTACGTGAGAGCGATTTACGTCAGCTAGTCGATTGAAAAGACCACGAGCTCCTCTCGTGCTTTCAAGTATCCCAACAATGCGTCAAAATACATTATAAAACACAAGTAATAGGCGATCCGAAAGCATGAATCATTTTCTATATGTACTATCTTTATCTCGCTTATCCTTCAAATGCAAGATTTCATTAACGTTTTCATTATATAAGATATCAAAAATTTATATAAAATTCAATTTTTTAAAATGTGTATATATATATATATATATATATATATATATATATACATTTTAAAAAATTGAATTTTATATAAATTTTATATATATATGTATTTTAGTAAAATAACACTATATATACTTTAAGGTATTTATGACGCGTATAGTGTACGGTGTAATCTTCAAGCCAAAGTAAGCTTCGACAATTTCTCAATTTCGTTGATTACATATTACTACAATTGACGCTTCCTTGTAACGTGCGGACACTCGCAAAGTGTGTCAATGCGTTGGACAAGCAAAATTTAATCGTATTTAAGCGCGCGCGCAAAGTTGACATTCTTTTCGTTGATGATTCATACTATATCGTTTTTTACCGTAGCATTGCAACGACAAGCAACATTACGAGCCGCATAATTGCAAATGCGTCTGTGACAACATCGACGAGGCGGAGAAGTGCCGAAAGAACAACGACACGAAGATCTGGAACCCGGATCTTTGTGTTTGTTCGTGCAGAACAATCGAGCCATGCAGCACTGGATATTACTTCAATCACAACACGTGCAGGTGTGAACGGACAGAATAGAGGGATCTCCTAGAGGAATATAAAAGGCGTCTTCCCCTTTTCACTGCACTCTACTACTCTATCATGACTTTGTAAGCCATGCGCGAACGCACCGATCTGTTCTTACCGAAATATTCTCGACTATTTCGGTCACCTATTTGATTCTGCACGAAATTTTTGCAAGTCTCACACACCTTGTGAATCCTATCCGTGATCTATGTCACGCATTCTATGTTTGTGCTTTTCTTCTCACATAGAATGTTTGCACGCAAATGAACTACTTTCGATCTTTCTTCTTTTCTCTATGCTATTTGACGAGGTGCAAGAGCGAAATGCAACTCGCTTCTATTTGTCAAAACTTCGTCTAATCGAAAATTCTAGTCAAAAATTCTAAAATGATATTATAACTCATGTGATATAATATAACATTAGAGGTGAATGTTTTGTACTTTACTAACAAGACTGACGCTTTAAAAAAATCCTTGAAAAATGACGCAAAATGACAAGAAATTTTAAAAACTGAGATTAGATATATGTGAACAATAATTTGCACTCCTTTCGGTTCACGTACAGTTTGATCACAAAAAATTATAATATTCAACTTACAGTTATTCGCAATGTAACCATAAATATGTTCCAGATGTGGACCGATAATGTTGTCTAGACCAGTAAACAGATTTGTATCCACAAAAGGTTCAAATTACAATTTCTCTAATCGTCGGCCTGAAAACGTGCCCCCTGTGATAATTCCGTTGGACCCATCAGATCCTAGAAGAAAACAGAAGGAAGATCCAGAATACAAGTGACAAAGAATTAGGACGGACGTACAGATTACAAGACTGCTAAAATGTATCCACAGTCACTTTATTAGTCTCTTTGTTACACAGACGGGACTTGTTATCAATTCGATGCCTCGGAACTGGAAGAGCGAATTATTTTATATATTATTTTATAATTTCACTAGATTATCACAATTTCATCGCAATAAAAAACATGTTCTATAAATTTTCAGTATTGGTGCGTTCGCAATGTATAAAATAGTATAATGAATTAGGTCTGTGACCTAGTAGTGTAAGAAATATTATTACATTTTATTTGTGATTCTATTATTAAGTTGTAGCAGAATGACATGGGCTTTACTAGTTCCAAGGTGTTAAACTATTATGTATGTACTGTTGGATAAAGATCAAAGAATATTGTGATATAATAAGAAAAGAATTATTCATAAAAATATACACTCTTGTCAATATTATTTATATTTCATAAAGTTATTGTTTTTGTATTTATTGTTATAATGACAAAGTAAGAAATAACTGTTATTTACTCTACTTATTACACATAACAATAAATTTATAATGTAACATTAGACTTTCATATATATAATATATTTGTTAATTAATATTTATATTTATAATAAAGGACACTCACAAAGTGTCTGAACAGTTTTAGGAAAAACAGTTTTAAGTCATTATAACATGAAATTTTTAAATATTAAGGCTCCTCATTGCAATACTGAATTATATCAAAACGAAAAACTGTATGCATACCTAAATTAGTTTTTTGGAGCAATGACATCAAAAACTGCAGGGATCAATGTGCTGTAAGCACAAGTAATATAGATGAATATAATTGTTATACTATTTACTGCTTCTTTCCAATGCTTATATGCTGTGTATCCACTGCAGTTTTGTCATTATAACATGAAATTCTTAAATATTAAGATTCTTCATCGCAGTATTGAATTATATCAAAGCAAGAAACTGTATGCATACTTATTAGTTTTTTGGAATAACAACATATCAAAAACTGCAGTGAGGGATCAATGTGCCTTAAGCACAAGCGATATAAATTAAATATAATTATTATACTAATTACTGCTCCTCTTCAATGACCATATCCTCTGTATCCGCTGCAGTTTGATTCATTCCTTTCTCACATTTTTCAGTCTTTTGCAGATAGGTGACAACATTTTTGTTGATTTTTAAGATCTCACTATAATTCTCACTCATAGCTTCAATAGATTTGGCAATGTGTTCTAAAAGAAAAAAAGAATTAGAGAATTTTTACATAAAATATATTGAAACATGTTATAACCTCAAACTTTCATAAGAAAGTTTTTAATAACATGTAAAGCATTTCATAAAATCCAGTTTTTCTCCATAGTTTCTCCTTATTCAGTGTATTTTAATCTTATTCTATTCTAAATCGAACTGTTATAGAAGCCACATGAAGAAATGTTTACATTACTTTCTTACCAATAGAAGATGAAATATCTACAATAGCTGTTTCCTGCAACTTAAACCGTTTCTTTTGTTGTTCATCATATGACATGTTAATTAGCGTGTATATTGCACACTAATCAAGCCGTGATAATTTTATAATATTTGTACAAAAATATATTGTTTGACATTTCATATCTCTCGGCTGCCAAAAGGCGGGAAAACGATCATCACTACTCAGCCATGTTGTACTACATTAATCAAGTATAAGGATTAATTATGATTTATCAACAAATGATTAATAATCTTGGAATAATAATATATACTATTATAATAAATAATTATTATTTTTGATTAATATAATTATTATTTTATTAACATAATTAATATATAATCATTATTTTTACTATTAATATATAATTATTAATGTAGTACTAGGGTGTGTTCAAAAATTCAACTCGTTGAGTAGAGTAAGATTATTGGGGGTAACATTAATGAACTCATCCTGAATAGTATCGAGTTGAACGACTTTATTCCGATTGTATTGAGTAAAATAATAATAATGACGACGAAACCGTAAACTGCGATTTCTGCAGCAAGTTAGTCGATCAATTATTAAAATTATATCATCTTAAATGATTATACCGAGATAGAAATGCCTGATGATCAGATTTTATCATGTCATGATCTTCTGATTGAAATATATGATATATATATATATATGAGTCTGCATCTGTATCTATTTTTGTCATCATGTTTTAAGAAATATGACTATATATGATTACAAAACATACAACCCAGCAAACACAAATGTTACAGTAACATAACATAGCTGTAATAGTTATGTTACAATATAACATTTACATCTATGTTATGTTACTGTAACATTTGTGTTTACTGGGAATACATTTCAATCATTATCATATATATATATATATATATATATATATATATATATATGTTACTGTAACATTTGTGTTTGCTAGGAATACATTTCAATCATATTATCATATATATATATATATATATATATATATATATATATATACAGTAACATAACATAGATGTAAATGTTATATTGTAACATAACTATTACAGCTATGTTATGTTACTGTAACATTTGTGTTTGCTGGGTTGTATGTTTTGTAATCATATATAGTCATATTTCTTAAAACATGATGACAAAAATAGATACAGATGCAGACTCATATGCTACTCAAAACACAAATATATATATATATATATATATCTATAAAATTTTCGCAAAAAAATATCATTATATGAGTACATAAATATGCTCAAATTAATAATATTTGAGCTCACATTTTTCATCATATGTATGCAATAACTTATTGTGCTCATATGGTACCTATCATCGCATAATATATAAATATATGATATTTACAAGACATACAATACATTTCAATCATATTATAGAAGATCATGACATGATGAAATCTGATCATCGTAGGTATTTCTATCTGGGTAAACATTCAAGATGATATAATTTTAATATGGTACCTATCATCACATAATATATAAATATATGATATTTATAAGACATACAATACATTTCAATCATATTATAGAAGATCATGACATGATGAAATCTGATCATCGTAGATATATTTCTATCTGGGTAAACATTCAAGATGATATAATTTTAATAATTGATCGACTAGTTATATATTGCTACAGAGATATCTAGTATACGCGGTTTCTCGTCGAACCCTTTGCATCGTCATTATTATTAATAATTTACTCAATACGGTCGGAAAGTCGTTCAACTTGATACTATACCCAGGATGCTATCCTTTTCATGTATAAAAATTATCGCTGTTTAATTCAGCGGCAAAAATTAATTGTTACGTGATCATTTTGTCGCTCAAACAATCGGTTTCAGCGGCTCATGAAAAGGCCACCTTTAATGTTACCCCCATAACATTACTCTACCCAATGAGTTGAATTTCTGAACGCACCCCAATATGGCTGCGCAACGATAACCGTTTTCGCGCCATTTTGCGACACCGAAGGACACAAAGGCAGTATACTAATACTTTAGACTTTAGATCTAAATTTCTGAAATTTCCATACAAATTATATAAGATGAGCATGGATCAATTGGTATGCTATATACACGCTAATTAACAGCATGTCAAATAATGATAATGTAGCAGAACAGCAAAAGAAACGATTTAAGTTGATGAAAGAAATGGCTGTTCTCGAGATTGCGTTTTTCATAGGTAAGAATTATGTAAACTTTCTTTTATGGCTTCTATGACAATTTGATTTAGAATAATAAGATTAAAATAACGACTGAATAAAGAGAAGCTGTACAGAAAAACTGAATTTTATGAAATGTTTTACGTATTACTAAAAAACTTATAAAAATTCAAGGTTATAACATGTTTCAATTATTTAATTAGTTATATAATTTTTACATGTTAAAATTCTCTAATTCTTTTTTTCTGTTTAGAACACATAATCAAATCTATTGAATCCATGAATGAGGATTATAACATCTCTTGAGAGAGAGAGAGAAGATTAATAAGAATGTTGTCACCTGCAAAATACAAAAGAATATATTATTTATTCAACTAAAAAGAAAAAGTTATGTTTTTAACATAATCAATAATGTTATCCTTGCTATAAAAGGAAAAAATCGAATCTCTTTTTATTCAACAGATGTATATGTGAGTATCATATTCTTTTTCTTCTTTGTATTATTTACATGAATGCTCTTGTGCAATTGTTCAAATATAGTAACAATGGATATTTAAAAAATATAAATAACAATATGGCTTTTATTATATGTATAATTTAATTTATAGAACACAGAATATATAACATAAGTTTCATAATTAAATAATATAAAAATTACATGTTAATCGTTGAATTGACATTAGTCTTCGTGCAATTAATAAGTCTTTAATGAGATTTTGTCGTATAAATTAGAAAATATATATTTCAAAACACTGATTTATCAAAACAGTTACCTAATGAGCTCTTGTATTTTCTCTGGTATCATCTCTAGGATCACTAGATGGCATATACTGCTCCAAAAGATAATTAATTTATTTTTTTAATTTTTATGCAGAATATAATCATATTATATTTAATTGTGTGACATTTTACTGTGCTATATTAAAAAGATTTCAGTAAAAATTATTTCTTTTATCGCATCTTTTTAAAATGTTTAATAGTCTTCATTGAATATTTTTATTTTTTTTTTTTTTTTCTTTTTTCATATAGATTATTTTAATATTTTTATGTGAAAATATATTAAGAAATATTATTCTAAGATATATAATAAAATATATAAAAGAAATATTATTAATAAGAGACACACTTTTAATATTTGATAACGAACAATGTTAGTAATGCACTATACATATACCTGCATTGTTATATAAATATATTTAAATTTAATGCACAATATTACCTCAATAATTAAAAATTATAATACATAATAGTTGAATGATTTTTTTATATTTATTTTTTGCCATAAAAATAATTAACATGTTGAATAGTGTCGAAATTAAATTACTACTGTTTCTCAGATTATTTATAGCTCCTTCAAAATTACCTGGAAGCTGAATCCACGAAGAAGATTGAATTGATCAACATCAATCTATAAACAGTTAATTGGCAACTTCATAAATAGAAATTCTACAATGCTGATTCGACATGCTGTACTTATGCTGACAGGATTGAATTTTAGGTATTTCTACCATGTATAATTGATTCGTAAAACCAAATTCGTATACTTATTGTTCATGATTTAACGATAAGTACGAATGAATTTGGTTTCTTCATTTATTATTATATCGTAGCATATTTATATAGGTACAGGTGGATCTTTGAAAATTTAAATTAATCATATTCTCGTTAAGAATTTAATATATCCGACGAATGATCTGATGACAGAAAGAATTTATTAACAGATAAAAATTGGAATAATTTTTTGTTTTAAAATATTGATTATATTAAATTAATATTAGCATTAAACTTAGAATCCTTATTTTTGCTTATAATTCTATCAAATATCACTTGATACACAAACATTTATTTATTAACAATTATATATATATATATAAAATTATATATCTAAAATTTTTTGATATAGAAATATTTCTATCGTAATTTTTCAAAAGAATATATAAAACTCTATTATATTTTTATTTTCAACTTTTCTTTCTTATATATGTATATTAATGTTTTTATATTCGATATTATATTGTATTAATAAAAAGAATCATACATTTTTAAGATTAATTTTGAAGAAAATAGAAAAATCAGTAATGCAATATGTACCTCTGTATTATTATATAAAATATTTAAAGTATTTTTTCTGATAATCTTTATTTTTCGCTATGTGAAAAATAATTTATCATATCTAATTTTTTATATGGCAAAAAATAAAGAATATCACAAAAAATAATGTACAAAATTTAAAATAGCTTCATGTTACAGCAGTCGAACAAATTCGAGCGACTTCAAGAGAACGGACGGTCGAGATTCGCCGTGATACCCGCGATTAATCATCAGGAGGCTCCCTGATATACACGCTTAAAGGTTGCTGGCGAAAGGGGGAGAGAAACGGTAGCCGACTTGGCCGGTCTCAACCGACCTTCCGTACCACGGCGCCATTTTTTTGCGCCATCCGTTATAATTGCCAGGGCCTTGTCACTTTTGCGAGCTTTCGCAGTGAGGTACCTGAAGTGTATGTTGCCCCGTGCCGGTTCTCCTACACCGAGGCGGCTTCCTCAAAGCGACCAGAGGAACGAAGGAAGAAAGGAGGGGATGGACAATGAGCGGAAGACGAAGGATCAGAAACGAGGTGAACAATGCCGACTGTCGTCGCAATTGCGAATCTTCCTTCTCTCGTCTTAGCGAGTCGTTTCAAACGAGACGCCGCAACATAATGTTAGATTTTTTCATTTTGCTCCAAGATAAAGTTTCAAGAAGATCCAATATTTTTGTCGATTATAAGTTAGTAATGAATGACAGTTTATATATATATTTTTTTTTTAACAGTTTGAAAGATCTGTTACGATATGTTAGATCTTTATTTATTAATATTTTTTCCAATGAATCCTTTTGATGTAAAACAATATTATTTTAATCTGTATAAATAGGATATTAGTTTATTAGATATTTAGTATATTATTTAATATATTAATACATTTATTAATATAAAATATTACCATTTATATAATTGTGCGGGCTGACTCGCGTTGCAGTTTCAACGGTGCTCTCGTCGGTTCACAAAGCGGGTAACGCTTAAAATTCAAAGACGATCGGCCAGTGCCGGCAAAAACTCGTGCCTCGCCTGCGTATTTTACGCCACTTTCTTGCGTGTGTACGCACGCGTGTAGATATCTCCCTCTCTCACTCTTTCTCTCTTTGCTCTGTTCCCGGCGGCCTCTCCTCAAGGACTGGTACCGCCTGCGGATGGTTCCACGACGAGAGAAAGAGCCGACGACAGAAGTTCGAGAGAGGCGTAATACGGTAGCCGGTACGACGGTGGGTTTAAATCATATTAAAGCACGCCCGGGCATCTCGCGTAAGGGGCCGTAAGCCCGGATTACGGACGCGGCCCGTTCTACGCGCAAGATTCCACATACAAAGTAACTCGATCGCTTTACCTCGGCGACGACTTGATGGAAGACGATCTTTCGGAGTCTGCTACAGCGAGAGGATTAACGTACGCAGACTTGGTTGTCGCGAAAGTAGCTAAAATCCACGTTAAATAATGTTAAACTTTTACAGCCTGCTGATAACATTATTTATGTTGTAATTATTTCGTAGCATATAAATAATGATTATTATATGGTATTGTATATATATAATCTCATTATGTTTATGCGATCAATTAGGTAAAATATATTCAAAGGGGAAGAAAAATGTAAAATTAAATTTAAAAAGAAGCCTCGTTCTTAGAATCTTCTTTGTGTAAATTAAAAAAAACTCGATGCATTCTTTTCCGTAAGTGAAATCTATCGAAAAGAACGAGATATCAAGAATGTCAGTCAAGAACATTATAATTAATGCCATATGCGAGAAACTTATCATAATTAAAATAAAAAATGCCACAGCATTGAAAGCATGTTCGCTTTCTTCCTGTTCGATTTGAAATCTTAATTAGAGCTACGAAAGAAATCTTTATTGAAGACATTGTAATCAGCAATTGTCTTGCTGTCTAAAGCGATAGCTGCGTTTCTGCAATTCATTCAATGAGATCAGCGGTCCATGAAAAGAAATACCAAATAAAAAGAAATCGATTATGTTTTATAGCTTTAGTGTTTCTTGAAAAGAGATTGATAGAATGTTACGTGGATCATGGTATAGCAAGATAAATTGCTCGGTATAAATATAACAGCGGAAAGTGAGGCTTATACTGTTTTTTTTTTTTTCGTGCATTGCGTAAAAAGTTGCCCTCGCCGAAATTACACCGGTATCGGCTCCCGGTTACCACCGTACAGAAGCCATCGGGCCAATCTATCGACGGAGGGGGGCAAGAGATGAAAGACGAAGTATAAAAGATAAAGTGGTCTCTCGTGAAACGTTGTTACGAAACAACATGGGCAGTGCCGGTAGAAAATGGCGTGGGCCGTGACTGTCCGAGACCAGGTGAAACGTGTTTGTACAAGATACGAACTGATAAGCCATCACCGAGAGGCTCAACGAAAGGGTACGGGCGTACCTGATCACCGTTGCTCATAGTTGATCAGAGAAAATAAGATGATGCGCATAAAAAGATTTATAATTTCCTTTAAAAAAAGCCTGCGTCTTCTTAGCTTAAATTACATCGACATTAGACAATTATTTTTTTAATTTGAATCTTATTTTAAGCTACTAATAGTAATTTTATTTTGTTAATTAACTAATTAATATTTTATTATTTATGCAGATTAAAATATATTGTTTTATATCAAAAGGATTTTTATCAATTACACATATATACAATAAAATTTAGTCGTCAAAATTTGACAGATAATCTATTGCGTAACTATTGTCAATTCGTCTGGCACAATTTTATTAGATCCATGTACGCGCAAGCCTATTCAGAAATTATTCATAGATGTTGATTGTGTAACACTAGGTTCATATATGTCGAAAAAGATCGTGACCTCTTACGATTCATTTCGACCACAAGCGAAATAAATCGTGATGAGGAGAAACTTCTATTATATCGTAGGAACATGTATATTAATTACATCATTTTTTGCTAAATTATATTTAACACACTTATTGTATATTACAATCCAATAAAAAATATTGGTTTAGAAAAATTATAAAAGATATTTGATTTCACAGATAAAGATAAATCTCAGAACTTGAGCGAGCAAATTGTAAAGGAAAAAAATCACATGGTACATAATGGACTCGCCAAGATGAGTTGAGAAAGAACAAGGGATGAAGAATGAGATATACAAATGGATACAGTAGCGCAACAAGAGCAAATCATTGGTTCAGCTCGGGATTCGAAGCGGATTACTGTTGGAATAATAATAACGACGAGACACGCTGTGCATATGCACGCGTGTGCATCAGGGATGACCGCATGTGATGACTTCTGAGCTATGCGGTCCATTTTTCCTCGGTACAGACACGCGAGAAAGTCAACAAGCAAGAAGTTCCTTTTGAAAAACGCGAAACTCAACATTACAATGGAGGTACAAATTAATATGTAAAAAGTAAGTTAGTAAACTAGTAAGAGCTTGATACAAAGATATATGCAACAAAATTATTTTTAAATTCCTTTATATTTATTCTTCTATTATTATTTAGTATGAATAAGTATTTAAGAAGATTTAGAATATGATTCTGTTGCACCTGATATCTGTGTCTGGCTCTTATTAACTCTTTTCATATCTAAATTTGTATTTACATATCGGAACCTTTTTGATTTATTTTTTTATTTTAGAAGTAAAATAAGAACGCAAAATATATAGAAAAAATTTAAAATGCTACTGATATAAAAATATATTAAAATTATATTTAAAAATATTTAAAAATCTGAGATGCTACAGATATAAAAATATATTAAAATGTATATAATATAAAATATATATTTTTTATTTTAAATTGATATATGAATTAATTAAAAAAAAATATATAAATATATTAAAATTATATTTTATAGAAAATAATTTTTGTTGTACAGAAATCATTTTTCTTTATATAAAGAGAACACACAATTAATAAATATCGTTTTATATAGGATTCTACGATTTAAAGAGACCTACGCATCCTGAAGAAGACGTAGTGGGGACAAGAAAACATATGGTTCTCGCTGATTGTGATAAAAATTATAAAAAGGCATAAGACAACGAGGAGAAATACCTTCGAGGAGAGTGCGCGGCACAAAGGAACCTGCTGTTTACGAACTACCCGCGTCTCATACGCACCAGCTGTAAATTATCATGTATTCGTAAGTAATGCTCGCTTTTACTATTCTCAAGACGGCGAAATGACCGGTCTCGGTTTGTATCGTTGCGCAGGAACGAGTATAATATAGTTACGCTTGAAAATAGTACAATGGTACTTATGTTTGAATGGTGAAAAAAAATATAAACGAGATGCACGCACACAGTAGCATCTCGAAAAACAGACGCTCGTATTTCTCATCTCTGGGATATAGATTTGATTAGTTTATAATTTTTATTCATTTTAATTCCAAATTTTTTCCAAAATATTGCGTGAGAAGAAGAGTTGCAGATAACTGAAATTAAAATTGAGAATCTTGTCATAGCATATTTTTAATTATACTCAATCGGTGAGTGCATCACCAAAGTTTCTATTTGAAGAGACTACTGTTTATTACTACTTCGTTACTCAGTTTCTCTTTCTGTCATTCTATCTCTCTCAATCGACTTCGATATTACAAGCCGGCGTCGATGACATTAATGATCCTCGCAGAATTACAAGTGTATGTCCGCGTATACTTCACCAGGTTCTATGGAAAGCTACGAGACGTATTCGCGAGATAAATAAGTGGCCGTTCGCCAAAGAGATCGCCGACGCTCTTCCTTCCTTCTTTCCTGTCTCCTTTGTCGTGTTTCTACAAGTTCTCCGATACAGCTTCATCAAATCTCACTCCTAGTGTTGCTATATATTCAAACTTTGTGAGAATAAGTGTATGTTTAGGAAGAGTGTCTATTAAGCGCTCATCGCATCTTGGAGGTACGAAGTTAGTAATCAGCACTCTGTCAAGGAAGATTTTTTCTGTGCAACAAAATGAAATAGTTTTCATCAGCGTATCCTAGTAGCATTGAATGCAATCCTTTCCCTTCTTGTATCATCTCTGATGATCATAATTTTTTCATAATTAACATATCATAAAGCGACATGATTCAGAAACTCAGAAGCTGATTTTAGGCACGAAAAAAATACTAATTATCATAGTTAAATTTTAATTATGGTAACCAAGCTAATATTTTTTAAAGAAATATGTGTTTAATGGAAAAATTCTCCGTTAAATTATAACTAAAAATATTAATTATTGAGACTAAAATACACATATTAATTTCAGGTCGTATAGACACCCCTAAAACTTAACCATGATGGTTAATATTTTTCTGCCTAGAGGAGTTTGCACTTTTTCCCGTCAACGTTAAATCGATACAAAAGCGAGTAAAAAGAGCGTCAATAATAGTGAAGGATGTAGAAGAAGAAAGAGAGAGGGGAAATAGGCCTCGGGACGAAAATGATCCAAGAAAGATCGCGAGTTTCGTGGATCCGGATCCCGATGATCGAATTCGATCCTCGCATCTCGCGTGTCGGGACACGCTTCGCTCAAGTGTGCTTCTCTTTTCTCTTCCTCTCTCTTTCGAGTCTTCTCTCTTCGTCGATGTGCAACGTCTTCTCCTTTCGCTCGTAATTTCTCTTATTCTCTCTCGCTCTATCTTTTTCTCGTACCTACTCTTCGTCGTTCTCGGCATCTCGTTCACTCGACGAAAACAAAAGGAACAACTGGACTAACTTGCAGCGAGGAAGAACGAAGGAGAGGGAGAAGAAGAAGAAGAGAAAAAAGAAACGAATCTCTGGACGAGGAGAGAAGCGTAGCCTGAGGGACAAAGAAAGAAGCGAAGAATCGGAGGGAGGAGAGAGAGGAGGCAGCAAGAGAAAAAGGAGAAGCAACTCGAGGAGAGCAACAAAAGTAGCCGTGACGCTGTACAAAGCGAGCAAAGCGAACGAGCGGAGCCCGAAGGGGAAAAAGACGAGAAGATCGGCCCTTCGGGGCCGATGTAGAAGGGAATGGGGAAAGTGCAGGCGAAGGAGAGAGGCGAGGATGGACGAAGGGAGGAGGTGGACAGGGATGTAAGGAGGAGGCTGTTGTGCCTCGCGCGATATTCGCGTTACGTATATTGGCGATGTAATTTCTCGGAAATGAACGAAGAGAGATAGCACGTACAAAAATATATCATATCATGGAGTTAGAAGAGAGTTGAAAGGAGTCTGCACCAAATAGGATGTTGGTTTTTGATGGAATTGGCTGTTTTTGTTTCATATGTTGTAGCTTATGTCCTGTTGAATAAAAGATGTAATAGTTTTAAAGTTAAATATTGGATAGTTTATTGAGTTATAGCCAGTCAAATAACTCGTAGAGTTATATATTATTTGTTTAGCAAGTCATAGGTTACAACATATGAGAAAATCAGCTAATTTTACTAGGATTCAATGTCATAGGATTTTATATAGACTCAAAAATCTTATATTAATTATATAAAATTGAATCTTAGTAAGATCAGCTAATTTTTTCATATGTTGTAACTTATGATCTGCTGAATAGAAAATGTAATAGGCTCAAAGCTAAAATAATAGTAACTGATTTGCAGCCAATCAAATACGAAAAATTAGGAGGTTGCGAATTGTTTGACTGACTGTAACTCAATAACTTCCGAATATTTATCTTATAGAGGCTATTACATCTTTTGTTCAACAAGACATAATCTATAACATATGAAAAATAAACAGCCAATTCCACCGAAAGCCAAAATATATTTGGTGTCTTGTTTTCTTGAAAATGTTTCAAATAATTAAAAACATTTAAAAAATACATATTTATGTGTAAGAGAAAATTTTATCAATTATAGAAAGAGAGAGAGATTTGACCGATACTTTTTCCTGTTAGATAGCATAATATTGTTTCCGCTTTCGCATAGCACAAAGAATTTTTCCGCGAACCTCACGTTCGTCATTGAGTAGCTTCGAGGAATCCTCGATGAATCCTCGTACTACGGCAAACGGGTTCATGCGCGACTTTTGAAGGAGAGAGAACGCAACGAAGATGTCCCAATCAGGAATAAAAAGCAGCCGCATAATTGATCTCGCTTCTCGAATCTGGGTTAAAGACCGAGGAGCATATTTATCTCGACGAAACTTGCATCAAATTGGCATATCTTATTCGAATAAAAAATCTTGTTTAATGATAATTAGACTGAAAAAAAATATTGAATTCGAATAATTTTTTTTCAGTGTATATATAATCTAAATATATTTTAAATATATTTAATTATATTATATAATATAATCTAAATATATTGTATAATGGATTTTAAAATTTTCTTGCGTATTCTAAGGAAGTGTTGTAAATCAAGTCGGAAAACCAAAAATAAGATTCTCGCAATAAAGAATGTGTGATGGTATGCGAGATTTAATTAATAACTCTTCTCATCTCTCTTTAGAAAAACGAACACACAATTAATTACTACTTGTACCCTTTATTTACGCTACCGCTTATTAACGCTACCGCTGCAGCAGTTTCAACGATAAACCATCTGGGCGCGTTTGGATTCTTTTTTTCTCTTGATGATTGTCACTTATAATTATAATTATTGAATGTTTTGCGCGTTGCAGAAAATTCAAAGTAATTGGTATCAAATTAAAAAAAACAAAATTTTTTAAATTTAATCAAATTTAATATATCACCCATTTTCTCAAAAGACAAAAAGAAACATTTTTTTTACATTTATGATATAATAATGTTTGAAAAATAGATATATTTTTATTTCTATTTTAACAGATGTGCTAAGATTATTATAAGATGTATCTAATAATATGGAACTTTTTACAGAGCAGAATCCACTCGACACAATGAAAGTTGCTTTGCTCATTGTCGGTCGATACGCTCCTGGATCAGAGGAGAGAGGCGAAGAAGAGAAAAGAGGAGAGGAAGAAATAAAAAGGCAGAACTGGCAAAAGAGGCAAAACCGCGTTATGTTACTCTCTCTCGTCCCATTCTCCGACCGTCTTGCTCTTCTCGTCGTATGCTGGTGCTTGGAGTTGCTTCTACTGCACGATGGAGTAATGTATAGTACGGTAAGACATAGTACGATAGCGTGCACGAATGCAATCATAGGATGCTGCAGCATCCTGCAGCATTTTTCCCCGGAACTTACAGATCTCTGCGCGACGATTTACTATAAATTTACTTAGATTTTTCTCATTTAATGAATACACATTAACGTTTTACTTATATTTTTGATTTTAGGAGATTACCATTTCTTTCTGTTTGCCACGACACATTGAAAAACATATTCGGGATATCGAAACAACAGATAAATCTTTCCGAAGGAATCTAAGATATTCAAACGTTGAGTTGTTTTGCAAATGAGACGGCAGCTCGATCAATTTCATCACGTTGGCGTCTTCTGCGTGACACAGGCAGGTATAGCGATGAACCGTGACTATATGCTGATAACCGGCGGATATGTCAAGATCCCCCTATGGCAAGGGTCAAGCGGGCTTTGTCAACGATTCGCGTGCATTTGCTAATCTATGCCAATCTATGCAACCGTCACCTGCGGACACGCGGCTAATTCTTTATTCGCTGAATGTTTGCGTTAATCAAAGTCACATTATGAATAGCGCATTTTAATGGATATTCAATCTTTTTTTTCCTTTTGTCTTATTTATATTTATCAAAATAATCTCTGTTTAAACGTCATAACGTTGTATGTACTTTTTTAATACACATTTCGTATATCTGTGTGATATTATCGTTTCACACAATTCTTTGCATATATAATTTAGATAAAATAATACTAATACGGCAGATTATTTTTCTTAACAGAAAATATATATTTTTGCCGCGTGCATCCATCGCGGGAGAAGATTTATTTCATAATCCACTATAGTGTGGCTGTATATGGCCACTTTATTCCTTTAGTCCGTAGGTAATATGAAATATGGTAATTGGCGTCACCGTAGGGGGATCGAAACGGTTGATTTAAATTGCCTAATTGTAAGTTCCTCCCGCGTTCCACGTTTTCTGCGCAGAGTTGATCGGTAGTTGTGTTCTCCGGTAGCAACCGCACGTAATAGCATTCGGAAGACATGGGCAAAAAAAAAGAAAGAAGTAAAAAACAGAGAGAAAGAGAGAGATATAGGGAAAGGAGGATGAAAAGAAGAGAAGAGCAGGAGCTCAGAGAAAAAGAAGATCGAAAAAAAGTCATATGAAGGGAGGAGGAGGAAAGGGGCGAAGGCTTACGACTTAAAGAAGAAGAGGTATAGGAAGGGGAGGGAACAAAGCGGGACATCAGAAGAGATTAAAATCGTCGAATCTTTTTTCTGCTATAAGCACCCTCGTCCTCCTCTCTGGCTGATCCGCGAGCTATTTATAATACATCTATTAAAATGAGAAAATATAAAATAATTCATTTTTTCTAAAATAAAATAATTTTAAACTTTTTTTTAATCGCTCTCTGCCATTTTTTCTGTACATTAAATGCAACATGTTCTTGCAAATTATATTCATAATTCTCGTGTATATATATATATATATATATATATACCTATACATCTAAATTAATTAAACTTAAATATTAAAGCATAAATGGCACTATTCGTAACTCAATCTCTCTCTTTCTGTCTGAACGAAACAAAATCCCTTCGCAGTTTATTTGCAACTTTATAGTGTGAATGAACAATTTTTTAAAGTGTCATCGAGAGATTAATTTACTTCATTTTTTACAGGTTTGTATGATCCCGCATTGGAAGTAATATGTACAATCATAAAGGAGTTTTATGGAGTCGAGACGAGATTAAAGCTCCGATTTGGGAAGGACTGTTAGATCCAAGAGGTCCACTCCGATTTTTCTCCGTATATGAAGAGCCGCATCGTGCTGTGAGAATCGTTGCACGGGATGATTTGACGTAATCACCTTCTTGCCGCGAAAGGATTCGAGGCTACCGCAGTACGCTTATATTCTGCCACTGTCTCCTCATCTCTCTCGCGGTGTTCATTTACTTTATTTCTTTGTGCTTTTTCTCTTCTTCTTCGTCCCCCTGCCGTTCGTTCTCACATTGCTCGCTTTTTCTCGCGCCGTTCTTCATCTATAAAAATATGTTTTGCCGGGCGAAAGATTTCGTGTCTCGGAATATATTACAGTTAAGCTTATATCGGAGACGTCTTTTCCCTCTTTTGAGAACGTGGACAATTCCTCATTTTCAACACAAAAGTAAGCTTAGGCCCATCTAATATATTTTGATTCTTAATAACGCAAATATTTTTAATTAATTATATTATTTGTGTACATATATTTTTTACCGAGAAGATTGATCAAGTTTAATTAATCTTTAATCATTCTTTTTATAATACTGTTTAAATAATTTTTAAATATATGTATGATAAAGAAAAATGATTAAAAATTCATTAAACTTGATATCAATCAAATTTATATATGTATATATATAATATAATATATCACATTTTTAGAAAACTTTAGGATTAATTAATTTTTAACTGATACAGTTTAATCAAACTGCCTTCTTTCGTTGTAATTAAACAAAAAAATCTTTTACAATAGAATTAATTTTTAATATATCTCTTGTTTCGATTGTACCGCAAATTATCAAATGTTTATTTTAGAAAGTGATAATTTATTCGTGATTTCGTAAACGCGCTACTCATCGCCATTCATTTATTCACAATTTTACGGTTTCCCGTATAAGCCAGTTATATATATCGACCGATCGCACATTCTATATATTCGCATTTTCTAAATAAAACATTCTCACGTATGCGCGCAGCTTGAAACGACTTCTAAAGTTAAAGAACTACGCTCGTTCGAATCACTTTACCGTATCCTGGAAATATCCCGCTTCTATCATAAAACCTTTCGAGGGGGACACTTTAACAGCGCGGTCGTATACACGAGACGAGGGATCTTTGGTGTCTCGGATTTGTGATTTACACGTCGTAAAGGCCACGAGCAAGATTTGAACGAACCTGCGTGTGTATGTATGTGTACGCAGATACACAATTCCCCCTTTGCTTCTCCTCGCTCTGTCGCGAAAGGACACTCGTGTTTACGTACGTACGTACGCGCCGAAGGACGCATAAGGCTTGATAATAAACCCTGTACGAAAGCTCCGGCCAGTCGAGCAACATACTTGAACACAGTGACATTACTCACACGTGGTCTTTACAGAAAGATTACAGTTCGTGTGGACGTATCGAGAATCGAAATGATTTTTAGTCGAGAAAATTGTCGGAAGGCATTCAATTTAGTTTGCTTATAAAAAAAAAAACAATTTGCATACATTTAACTTAAATGAGCAGTTCCTTTATATGGGCTTTTCGATAAATTGCGGTACAATCAACGATGGAGATATGTAATTCCTTACGAAGAGAACAAGTATTATAATAAGTATAAAATAACTTGTTTTTTAATTATTGTTTAATTTTTAAAAACGTGATTTGATATATGAAAGTAATATTTTTTTTGGCTATATATTAATTAAAAGAAGTCGGTTGTCTTCGAGGAAGTGATTAATATTTAAATACGAATTTATATAATTAGGCAAATAAAATTACAGAGCTGATATTTATCTTTCGCTAATCAAATTGACCCGTCAAATCGATTACATCGCTTGACTACATTTGACATAGGAAATAGCGACGTTTCGGAGCACGTACGAAATATGATAAATAAGTCTTGAAGAGACATTAAAAAATAGAAAGAAAGAGAAATTCTCCCTTCATCTTCTCTCTTTTTCTTGTATACTGTTGCTCGATTGTGAACTAGAGATTTATTGACATATGGATTTGCATTTTAAATATGTGAAGTGGCGCGGAAGATGTTAAGCTGCCTGAAAAAAATATTCCTTCGTCCTGATCGCCATTATCATCTCTCTTCTGAGTATTATTCACTTTTCACAGAGATGTAACATGCGTCCTTTGCATCCAAGAATTGTAAAAATATATTCTTGTTGTTTAAAACACAAAAAAATAGTTTCTCTAAAACAACTCTTCTCTTAATGAATTTTTTGTCTGTAATCTGTAGGAAAAAATTAATTATACGAAAAGATATGTAAATATTAAAATTCAGAAAATGAGCTAATAAGAATTAGCAAATTAAAATTACAATCTTAAAATCTTTTTTTATTTAATTTGAACATTTTTCCCTCCTTCATTCCTTCTCTTTGGCAGATCAATTGACAAAATGATTCATCTCGAATCTTATTTCCATTTTTGGTTTAAGTCCTTAGGCAATTAAAGATAAGATGAAAAACAAGAAGTAAAAAATTGTGATCTGATACAAAACAGCACTGCAAAATTAATTATGTGTGGGGAATTTAAGTGGATTATCTCTTATACACACAAAGGGAAAAATCAATGTTTTAAAGAAATATTTTTATGTGATAAAAAATTATTTCTATGTGACAAAAATTTATTTTCTAGAAAACGAATATTTTTAAATATATAGTGTGTCATTCTGTCTAATCATATTGCACTTTAATTTTCTTTGATATTTAAGATAATTCACAAAAATTGCAAACATTTTTTCAAATGTGCTAAGGTGTAAAGATATGATAAATTATTTTCAGAATGACTTCGACAACACCGTTAATTCTGCAGACAGACCACAACCAGTTGCAGGCCATTAATGTTCTGTTGGCACCAATACAAAAAAATTTAAAAGAGAGATGATAATCCTACGCGAGATGAGACACTAATGCTCGAGATAAATGTTTCTTCTCCAGACGAGCATGATTATCTAATATATACTTTCAAATTGTTTTCTTGAGAATTTTTAGTAGTCATTAATAACACGCACACAATCACACGCACATATATACATAAATACCTGAAGTATTAACTTGTATTTTAAAATATAGGAATTAATTATTAGATGATTAAAATCACGGAGATTATCTCTATTTTATTTACTCCTGCGATATTTGATTGTTTTACTGCACATCCTTAATCAGAAATAAAATTGAGCAAATAAAAATAATCTCTGTGATACAACTAATCGTCTAATTAATAATTAATTTCTCTACTTTAAAATGATTGTATAATTTAATATTCTATGTATATATATGACTCTAGAGAATTGTTAAAAAAAAAGAATGAGAAAATGCCAAAGGTTCTAAGGTTAGGTTAGGTATTGTTATTCTTGTGCAATATGATACATTATATCATGTTCTTTCTTCTTTTTTTCTTTATTTTCTCATTTTGTCATTATGTCCATTGTAATATGTTTCTCTTTTATTCACGTTTATAACAAATATTGCAAAAACAAAACAGATTACATTTTCGACAAAAATTATAAAATCAATTTGTTTGGCACAATATTTAAGTTATCGCTGCTAATTGATTTTATTTCGTGTTTTGATTATTATGATCAGATATGAGATAGGAAATCATTAAAAGGATAAAATTAGTCGATAGTACAAGCATAATCGCTTTTCTTGTGAAAAAAATATATAAGTAAAAAATGGCATATATAACATATCTGGAATAAGTATCATATATTTTTCGCTTATGCTCGAAAAATATATATTTTTTAATTTAAAACTTTAAGTATATATTTTTTAATTTAAAACTAAAGGCTAACAGCTTTGAATAAGGATTTTTTTAAATAAATATAGTCATATATGGTATTTTTATTGAAAATATTATTTTCGATAATCATATGATTTATTTTCATAACGTTATATTTGGGATCAAACATTACAATATTCTTGCATAATTTTTGTCTTCAGATATACATTTTATAGGGAAAAGACATGTTTGTTATAAACAAAGGAGAAAAAAAAATAATGTATTTTGAGGTTAATATTTTACAAAAATCTCGATTAGTGTTAAGTTGTTTGCAACGTATCACGTGACCGGATGACGTAAGCACCGAGCAGTCACGTGACGCGTTCGCGGCATCAAGTCGAATTGCGCCGATTGTCATTTCTTTTTCGCTCTCGGATTAATTCCGCGAACGATTGTTGCGGAAGCAGCGTCTTATCTATCGGAGAATCGTCTCGATAACATAAAGCGGGCCTACGCGCTCGCGATAGACGCGTATATATTTCAATATTCGTGGTATCTTGCGACGAGGAGCCGAGCAATTTTTCGAAACCGCGCGAAGTTAGACGCGCGTCACGTGACCGAATTTGGAGAAAGCGCCGGTCAGTTAACGTCGGGCGTCTCGGGGGTGCGGGTCGTCGTCTCGCGTTGTCGCGTTTTTCTCCCACCCCAACCGATTTTCGCGCACGGACGACGTCGGAAGCGTCGTATCTACCGGTCGTGGTCTCGGGCGAATGAAATCTACGCGATCGCGGCCCCGATAACGCGTATATATCGCGATACGCTCGTCGCCGTATCTCTCAATTATCGTCGTGCAGCGCGAGAAATTTTTCTGCATCGCCGCGACAGCGTGAAGTTAAGCGCGGTCACGTGACACCGAGTTGGCGAAAGCGCTGTTCACTTCACGCCGTTTAGGGCTGCCTCGCACCGGTGCGAAGCTAATCGCGAGCGCGTTGCGACTTTTTCTCCGAATTCCGGTGCGAGAAGTCGAGAGTGTCGATGAGGCATCGAGAATCTAATCCTGATCGGTGTATTTATTCGGCGATTAGTCGCGTCTTCCGGAATTCGTGGATTCGGAATCGTTTCCCGAATTTTGTCGAAAAAATTTCCTCAAGCACGGACATTTCGCTTATCTCGTTCGACGAACAAGTTATTTTCGTGTGTGTTATCTAGCATCGAGGAACATCTCGAGAAAGCCTCATAATGGATTTGTCAAGTCAGTTCGTCACTTGCTTTCGACATTTGTATGACGGTCAGTATAGACGGAAATAAATTTACTTGAGTGTTTGCTACGAAGCTTTTAACGTGACAAATCGAGAGTGCGTGCCGAGTGAAACGTCTTTAAGTAGTGCCTCTTTAAGAAGTTCGTTCGCGTCCGTTAAGCTTGTTCGCGTGCATTATTCGCGATTCGGGAGTGCGGAATAAAACGGGTGATCTCTTCGAAATAGTGTATTAACGGGAGTGTCGTATTTCGCCTATTTCGCGGGTGTAATTGTGTGTTAAAAAATACTGTGTCAATTGGGATTACTGCAAGAGACAAGCAGCTGCTGTTCGTCGATGGTCTCCGGAAATGAGAGGGTGAGTGTAAGTAGTTTTTCATTATTTCTCAATTTTTTCAGTGGATAGCATGGAATTTGTGCAGTGCAGGATAAACCAAAATATTTTCTTCTTATCTTTTTAAATTACTCCCTTATAATTAGTATACTAATAATGAATAAAATGTTTTTAAGTTGTAAATTG